TTCTTATGTGACAGCAGGTTTAGACAGTAATGTTTGCAGGAAGTAGATGGACAAACAGAGAAGGGGCTACATCAGCTTTGAAGAATGAGCCTCTGCTCCTGTTTGTATCCATTGACTTGCATATTATGCTCCATGAGGGCCAAAATTCAGCATTTCTTTGTAGTTTGCGTTGCTATTTCATAAGACAGTGATCTTCACTTGGCTTTACTTGTGCTTACGGTGAAATCTCGCATGTTGCCATTCAGCATTCTGTCCTGTAGTAAGAAAGAAGAAAAGGAACAGTAAGAATGGCATTCAGACATGAATGCAGACAGATGGAGCAGCTGGCGAGTTATGGAGGGCCAGGGCTGACCTTCTGCTGCCTAATGGAGACTAGAGGGTCTCTGCAAGGACGCAGTATGTCTGAGGGCCCGAGTTAGATTGGGAAGGTGAAACAGCAGACACGGGCACCAGGGGATACGAAAGAGAGAGAGAGAGCAGTGACTGTGTTTATGTTGCTGGTATTCCAGCTGGCAGTAATTCAGCAATCTGTTAGGTTGCTGTGAGATGATAGGAAGCCACATGGGACAGTGTGCGTCATGGATCATACCCTATCACAATCTACAGGATGATGATGATGATAAACTTTAATTTCGGACATGTAAAGCAAAAACACAAATAAATACACATATACATTCATTTATTCACACACATGCATATGTGCACAAACAAAATCAACATAACATGAAATGCCAACTCAATCATCATGTCTGAAATAGAACAGGAAGAAGACTAGAGGAGACTAGAGGGTCTCTGCAAGGGTCTCTGCGTATTAATCACTACACGTGCTCAACACTCTCATCCCCACAGCTTGACAGAAAATGGTGTCCATAAAAGTACTGAAGGAAAAAAAAAGTCAAAAAGGTGAATATCTAGAGTAGTAAATTGTCCAACAATTATAACGTGTTCTCGTTGTAAGGTTCAGAACGCTGAAAGCATTTCGGGGCACATTGCGGTTCTCCATTTGTTCTGTTGACTCTGAAAGGGATCAAAGCAACGTTAGAGAAGGAAAGCCTTCAACAATTAAATTCCCTTAGATGAGATCACTCAAGTGTTGCCATCAGTCGTCTTCTTCTGTTGATATTCTTAGAGCTAAAAGATTTTCCTCACGTCCCACTGTGGGCACCGTGTGCTCCAGCTACAGTATTTGCACATTTTAAGACCACAAGTACTCATTTACACTGTTGGTTTGTCTGTGTTGTGTTTTTTTTTTTTTGTTAATTAGCTGATCAGATACCAGAAACACGTCTTCAAGTTATTTATTTCACTGTTAATGTGGAGAGCTAAAGATAAAGATACCTAATGATGTTATTATGACGTATATTTTGACACTTTATGAAGCAGTACTTTTTGTGCTTTCATTACACAGTAATAAATATTTCCTGAGGCGGATAAATATTACAAAGATTTTAGCAGGGATACAAAACAAATGAAGTCTTTCTTCTGCACCAGAAATCTTTTAATATGTAACAACGAGTTTGACTTGTTTGCAGAGTGCAGGTACTTGTCTTATTTGATAATATAAAAGGCAGGAAAATTAGCTTTCCAGAAACCTGTGGGTCTGCCAGCTGGTGCGTGGCTTCATGCTGAGTAAGGACGCAGGAGTGTGTTTGGCGATGTACCGATGTTTCAGGAAATGCAAAAAACATGATTAATGATATTAAATCCTTAAGGCTGCTTAGTCCCATTCACATTAAACTTTTTTGGCCCCACTTCGACCTTTTTCATCCTTTCTTTGATGTGCACGCTTGACTTTGTTGTGTAATTAAATGCTTCAAATCAGTCTCAAAGTAATGAATATAGTGGGGATTGAAACAAGTCCCACTTGAAGAGCAGCAGAGCAAACAAAGCAGGAAACAGCTGACACAAACATGATGGATTTCACTTTTAGCAAAAAGCTGGAACACGTGGCTGTCATTGTTTAAATTTCATTACGAAAAAATGTTTGCATATTTTAATATGTTGATTTGTAGGCAACTAATCTATTTTGTGACCTCTGTAAAGAAGGCATGCAGAGTTGAGATGACAAAGATGATTTCTTTTACATTTTTATTGAAGATTTTCCACTAACACTTTCTGAGATATTGTGTTAAGAGCAAATGCCATATATCTAGTTGTATTTCAGAGGCAGTAGCCTTACAGAAGAATTATTATCCCCCCAAAAAGCTAAGGTGTGGCAGCAAGGCCACCCACAGATGGTCCCTCTGCTTGTGTAAAATTACATACTCAAATGCATCTCTGATGTATAACTTGTTTTCATTTTATGCATTGGTGAATTTGGTTAATGCACAGTATAAAAATATCATCTCTAACCAACCACCCAAGTTACCCAAATTAATATCGCAGAAAAAAAAAAGACCTGTTGCGACAGCAACAGTTAAAGTCAGTGTAGTTCTGCAGCAAAGTGTTCATAGACTGGTGGAGCTCATAGCTTTGTTAGCATTGTGCCACCTCAGCGCTGACAGGCACGGAGCTACTTTTATTGCCACCCTCATTAAGCACTCGGTCTCTGCCAGCCAAAAACCTCAAGCCTTGAGCCCCACCCCAAAACTTGTGTGTGCCAGGATGCCGGTGGGTTCATACCCACATATTCATGAACAAAAAGCTGTATATACATATATATATATATGTGTGTGTGTGTGTGTGTATTAGAGCTGTGTCTGCCTGTGTAATTTAGCATAACCACTGACTTTGGCTTCAGCATTTACCAGAACATTGACCACACAGCTCAATTCTCCTCCAGTAAAGAAAGTAAAATGAAACCCTTCTATTTCATCTCATATCCACATTTTTTTTCTTCTGAAGTGTGTTGGCTGTGTTTACTTGTGATAATCAACAAAAAAGCTGGTTCCCATAAGTTCAATCTTGTGTGTTTTCTCCACAGTTAAAATTACACTCTGGATAAGGTCTGGTTATGGTTTAGTCATGCTGTGGTTATGTTCTACAAGTCACGTGAGCCATTTCAATCTTTCACGGCACAGACTAAGTAAAAGGTTTTTGAGCAAATGTGGTAAGCTCCAAGAGAAAGTTAGTATTCTTTAGGTGATGGGCACCAACCAACTTTGAGCATGCAGTGATTAAAACTGCTGCTTCCCATTGATGAGTTTGACAATTGTTGGTTACGTTTTTTTAATCATGATGCACAGAGCCGGACTCTGTGGTTGGCCTGTGGTGCAGCCCAAGGTTCGAGCATGTTACTGCATAAGAAGGAGAGACTGATGAGCCAGTGTGTGACAGCTGTGCCAATCAACCCACCCTGACTCTGCTCCCTGAACCATCCTGCCCTACCTCTCCCTCCTGCAGCTGAGTCAAACCACACTTTTAGAAAGATTCAAGAGGTCAAAGTATTCAGCAGTCTTAGAGGAAAAAACGGGGCAGAAATGATCTTTTCTTAATACCCAGTTTAGAAACCACTGATGTCGATCAGCTTCCTGCTGGTTTGATACTGAGGAAGATGGAGGAAAACCACTCAACATCAGTGGTTTGAATTTGCCATAGCTTTTTCTTTCTTTCCTTTTTTTATACCAAGCAGCCTGTGGTGTGGTCTTAAACAGTGAATGGCTTATCCAAAGGTCAGCCACTACCTATGCATAGAAACGAAGTATGAGACATATTAATTCATGCTCACGTGCACCATTTTCCATCTGGATGGAAGAACGTCAGGCTTTTAAACACCCCATAGAGCAGCTTTCTTAATTCTTCTGCCAGTGTTTTCATTAGAACTGATAAACACGAGTAACTTAGTAGGTTGGATCAATCAATTCATTCCATCAGACTGATTTATTGATTTATAAGGATCAATTAAACTGTTACACTTAAACTCCAAAAGGTCAGAAAGATCTTAGTGGCCTGAGGCCTCTGCTCGGAGTTTTTTGGGGTGTTAAACTTACTCAACACTTTATTATCCCAATGCTGTGTTAGCGCTGGAATATACATAATGTTACACTTGTAGGACTTTCACTTTTCACAGTGCGATGTAGTAAAATAAAAATAAAAAGACTGTAAAACTATAATTGTATATTTTGTCTGTCTGACCCAAAATTATCTGAGATGAAATACACAAATATGTATAAATTACCACAAATTTTAATGATTCCCAAAAAGGGATACAGCCAGCCTCCCGGGGCACAGTAATAGACCAGCAGAAAGTGATACATAAGGAGGAAACTGAAGAATACTTTGAAATCAAAGGCTCAAAGCCGAGGTGATCTCAGTGGTCAGAGCTTTGAATGTTGTTGCCATATATCACCTCTGGGCTCTGCACTTTGCTTTGAGAACTTCTGCAAATGTATTCTAGGGAAGAATTTTCCATGACTGCAGCCATCTTTCTCCTTCTAAGTCACCATTTAGCTTTCTTATCCTCCCACACACATAATGTATTTGAAGATACCCGTGGCTGCTAGAGGCCCGCTGAAGCAATTATTGCTTTATTTATTTATGACAGAAGTTGTAGATTAACTTTTGAATCCTTTGCACCATTTACAGCATTTAAAAGTCAGCTGAAAAGGAAAAAAAGTCAAGCTTTTTCTCGACTTTCTTTACTAATGCGGCTTACTTTCCACTGTATCAAATTTCCATCTCTCACTAGCTTCTCACTAGCTTCTCCTACAAACTCATCTTCAGTCACATTCCCTTGTAATATCCATCTGTAACCTTGTTTCCCCTCCACCTTTACTTTGTTTGTTTCCCATTTTTAGTATTGTGGACTCCAGGCAGTTTCTGTTATTAGTTTCTTCCAATTAGGGTAATCTGGAATAGTTTAATAGCATTATAACGGTGTTTGCACTTGTCCCTAGAGCCAAAGCTGACAGCTTTACATAAATATGTGCGGCCTCCTAGGTTCAACATCTGTTTAGATTTCTCTTTTGTTGCACATTGCACACTATCAAAACATGACCACTGTGAAAGTAAGCATGCATCATTATTGTAAATTTAGAATATCTCCTTTTTTGTGTCCGCAGGCTCACTTGCGCTCGGTGGACGTTAAGATCCTGCAACAGCTGCTGGCGGTGCACGAGGGCATCGAAGCAGTGAAATGGCTGTTTGAGGAGCGCAGCACACTGACCAGCCGCTGCAGCAGCCTAACCAGCAGTCAGTACAGCCTGGGGGAGGGACCCGACACCTCTTGGAGAGGCTCCTGGAGCAGCTTGCAGGACCCCAATGACAAGCTAGACAACATCTCCATTGGCAGCTACCTGGACACGCTGGCAGACGACATGGATGAGTACTGCCCTTCCAGCTCTGAATCCGTCATCTGCTCCACCACACCTCTAGTTTCAGAGGCTACTGCTGGGGGCCGCATGGTGGGAGGCTCCGTGGCCACAGCCACTGCAGCGGTGTCAGGGCCCGTGTTAGGCCTGAAGTCCGGGTCTAGTGCTGTGGGAAGTGAGAATGGTACTGGGGTTGGAATTATTCCAGAAGTGAAAAGTGGACCTGGGACTGTTGCCATTGGGAAGGGAACTAGAGGAACTGAAAGTGGGAAGCGAGCAGCTCCCGGCAGCTCTCCACAAGCCAAGTCTGAGGGCCTCAAGCAAGGTGCTCCTATCTGGACCAAGACTGCAGAGACAGATAAGGGAAGCCCCATGTTTAAGGTCAGTACTCCAACGCAAGGCCTTAAAGCTAATGGTGTCCTGGAGAAATCAACCACACAAAGAGGCAGCCCGACCCGCACCTGTCTCAGTGAGAAACTGGCAACCAGCCAGAGCCCCAAAGCTAAACCTTACAAAAATGGAAAGATTGACTTGGACACGTGCAAAATGAATGGCAAAATGCATCTGGAGTACGACGCCCACTGGCGCTGGGTGCAGTCGCAAGAAGATGTGACGTTTTTGTAAGAAGAATAATCACAGAGAGGGACTAAAGCCACTATTGAACACTCCCTCTGCAACATCAAAACCCAGATCACTGAAGATTAAAAGAAGAGTGCACTGATGTTGTGAAAGGCACATAATGGGGCTTTCCCCGGTGAAAGACACTGGGTATGAGAGACAATTACCTGTTTCTTCTTTTGTTCCTTCCTGTAACTGCACTAACTTCCTATAAAACATTGATGTCAGTATTAAGGGATTTTGGACCATATATAGCCAAACAGGGGTGCCTCACAAAATCAACTTTAAAATCCTGTGTCACAGATTTTCCTCAGGGTCTTTTTAACAATCCCTGATATTATTTCAGTTTCTTTTCTTTTACGTTATTTTGTTTGCCTGAAAAATAAAGCACGGAGGCAGCACGGTGGCACGGTGGTTAGCACTGTTGCCGCACAGCAAGAAGGTCCTGAGTTCAATTCCACCATCAGGCCGGGGTCTTTCTGTGTGGAGTTTGCATGTTCTCCCTGTGTTTGCGTGGGTTCTCTCCGGGTACTCCGGCTTCCTCCCACCGTCCAAAGACATGCAACTTGTGGGGATAGGTTAATTGGATAATTCAAATTGTCACTAGGTGTGAATGTGCGTGTGAATGGTTGTCTGTCCCTGTGTGTTAGCCCTGCGACAGACTGGCGACCTGTCCAGGGTGTACCCTGCCTCTCGCCCTATGACAGCTGGGATAGGCTCCCGCGACCCTGATAAGGATAAGCGGAAGCGAATGGATGGATGAAAAATAAAGCACAGTGAGACGATCTGCCAACGAGCTGAAACATGTCTTCAGATGGTTTGACACATACTTTATCGGCAAGTCAAAATTGAAACTTTGCCTTGACTTTGACTTTTTAAAAAATAATCTAGGAACAATATTGCCACCAATATATTAATTCTGAACCTTTACAAAAACTAGTTATTATTAGTTACTTTGTATAATCAATTTAACATTTTGTGGATTCTGTATGAAAGTAATTCCCAACTTTTTATCTTTTATCCTCTTCAAATGAAAAATTATTCAGTTATGGTGATAGTTTCTGGGTAATAAGGTAAATGTAGCTGTGCCAGACGATAAAAAATGTACTCCTGGACTAGTTTGTAGAGGTATTAGAGCAGAAGATTTAATGCAATATATATAGACAAAAGTATCGGGCCACAGAGTCCCTTAATCCTTCAGGTGTTTTTAGTTTCATTGTTCTAACTCTATAACATCAAGCACCTAACCATGCAGTCTTCCTTTACAAACATTTGTGAAAGAGTGAGTTGTTCTAAGGAATTCAAGCATGGTACTGTAACAGGATACCGCTGTACCACTGTTGCAATACGTCAGGTTGTAACACGAAAGTGTTTGGGAACCACAGCAACACAGCCTCAAAGTGGTAGACCACATAAAGTTACCAACTGCTAAAAGTGCACCTGGTATAAAAGTCACCAATGCTCATCTGACTCAGCAGTTGCAGACTTTCAAACCTCCTGTGATATTAACATCAGCACAACATCTGTGTGCCAGGAGCTTCATGGCATCATTTCAATGGCTGAGCAGCTCCTGTTGGTGTAATGTGTGGGTGGGCCGGTACTTTTGCCCATATTGTGTGTATTTCACAAATCAAAAGCAAATGTGTGATGAGAAATAACCAAAAGTTTTGTGTATTTAACTCTTTTGTTTCTTCTGAGCTCTTCAAATTTACCTCAGGGCCCATTTGAAGGGGCCTGACCCTGAGGTTGGGAATGACTACCGCACTCCACAAACAACAGCTTTTATGAACCCCAGTGTACTGCATATAAGATAGTAGTAGAGTCACTCCCGACGCATAATATACTAACGATTTGTCACGTCCCGAGGCGTTCCATGGAAACGCGAAAGGTGACCTTCCGCGTTTCTAAGCTACGCGCCAGATTGTGCGATTTAAACAAAATAAACATACATATGTAGAGTCATTCCAGACAGTTCTCGTGTTTTCCAAACTCATAATATAGGGACGTGTTGGGCAGCCGAAAGCATAATATAATGACGATTTGTCACCTAGTGTTACGCTTTGGGAGTGAGAACGTGTTGAGCAGTAATAGTGTAAAATCAACCTCTCATTGAAATCTTGAATAAAGATTGCTATATTGATCCTTGTTTATTGATAATATATCACTACTCTTCCAGTGGTTAATAACCGCCTTATTGTTTCAACAAAAAAATTGAGAAACAATGTGATTTTCTCCCCAACTGTTTATCCCCAAACACTTTCCTGATCAGCACTAGCAAATATGTCAAACTTGCAATAGAAGACGAAGCACTGAGATAAAAGTTTAACACATTAAAAAACAAAAAAAGTGCCAGTGATAGCATTTGTGTCTTTGTGAAGCTAATCCCTTCAGTGCGTTACCAAACATGTGCACGATTGTATAGTCACTGAGTTGTAGTACAGCTACCAGTGCACTGGTTACTAGTTGTGACTGGTTATAGGCAAATCTTGACTTTGGATGAAAATCTTTCTTCTGTTTTGACAATTACGCTAACCTGTATTAGTTTTCTTTAAAGCAAATGTTGTGCCTGATTGGTGTAAACCTTAACTACATATGCCTGTTTGTTCCCTGAGATGACTGCACTGTTGTGATGATAATCTTTTATTAGTTTTGCCTCTCCGTGGGCTTTGCTTGCGTGTACAAATAGCTAGACCAAAAGTCTGTGTGCTATTCAGTATCGACTGGTAAATGTGTTATGCTGGCTGGGTGGATATTGCTTGCCCTGTGCTGACATCTTTATTGGTTGATTTGTGAGCAGTACGCGGAAGACTGAACACAATCAGTGAAGAAAAGCAATATTTCCTGAAGGCTGTCTGCTGGCTTACATAAGCAGCCTCTTCTCAGCAACTGAAATTTAATAATACTGTCTGATCTTCAATAGATGACAGTGCTACGAATGTTGTTCCGTTTTTTTTATGTGCATGTGCGAGAGAAAAGACACAGCCGGCCTCCCAGGTATGAATAAGAATAGATGAATCCCAAAGGATCGCAGATTTTTTCAGCTTACTCATCACAATGTAACTACATCACTCACCAGTCTGCAGTTATTCATGTTAATGGTGCAGGGATGGTGCAACACATGTGGTAAATGGAGAGGAACATATTACATAATCTGTCCAGTTTCTTTCAGTGCCTGGAAGTGTTTGAAACTATTAAATATGAGTGTTGATAAAATATGAGCTTTGATACTGGTTCCAACACAAATGGGCATTTTTCATACTTTCTGCACATTTCAGTCATCTTGGTTCCATAACAACATAACATTTCATTTTTCTTTGAAACAACCAGATGACTATTCATGCAGCCATTTTGTATCTGAATGGTCACAGATTCTATTTTCACATGCCACATATGCAGTTTGGGGCTCAGATACACGAGAGTTAGCTTCTCATTTCACTATTGCTAGCTATAAAATTTTTCTGCACTGACCATAACACTATGACTTATTTATTTTGGAAAAAATATCAAGTAAGGAGGAGTTTAAAAATGCACACAGGAAGCTACATAAAGGCTCAGTTGCACAGGCCTCCAGCCTCCAGCTCCTTGCAATTCCTCTGGTAGTTAGCAGGCTCCTGCAGTTGTCCATGGTTTGTATGGAAGACACAGACTGGTCTGCAGTTAGTTACTTAACCACCAGTGGTATGGAAACTAAAAAGTGCCATGGAGCCAGGAAACTGAGAATGCTCACCTTCAAAATAAAAGCTTTGCCTTATCGCTGAAACCAACATGTGACAAAAGGGGCAACTTTTACTTTGGAGGTGAACAGTATTTTGTGTGTCGCACTGTTCAGTACTGCTCAGCAAGCAGCAAGTGTTTGCAGACAAGTTGGCATTTCACATGCAAATTAGAGGTAACCATGGCGGTCTGCATGTGACCAAAGTAATCGCAAGGTTTTAAATGCAGCAGCATGTGTCTCTTTGCAATCAATTTAAAAGCAACATCAAGCAACCTTGTTCAACCATTTGTCAAACAGTCAGGCTATAGACATTATATTCCGATGACCCGAGGAGCTAGCCAGGCTCTAGACCTGCGTAAGTGCAATTTAGCAATAAATGTTACTATGAAACACCCATTTTTCTTGGTTGTCAGCAAGTGGTCTGTAGGCCTGTGTTACTGAGGCCTTGGATAATATTGGCTGTAGATGCTGGAGGCAAAATTCCATGACTAACTGTCATAGGATAATAATAAAGAGTAAACGTGCAAGTTGTGACCTGAGCTTTTGTACGTAACCTGCTGCCAGTCAGTGTCACTTTAGCTAGATAGGACAAGTTCGCTTTCTGGTAAAAGCTCTATTTTCGTTGACATAATTTAGAAAAGACATTCTAGATTAATGAAATGATATGTGATAAAATAGCCTATCTGGCTCAAATTTTGGATACAAAATTCTCCCAAGTGTACTATTAGAAAAGAGAATGTGATGACTTGGCGTCAATTCCCTCCATCCTAATTTAATCATGTTCTTAAACTCAACAGCTCCATTTGTTTTAGCCACTGAAGTGTTTCCTCTCTCCTCCTGCTTTTCTTTTCGTCCTACTTTCCACCACCACACTGGTTTCATGGAAATGTTCAGTCAGTGCCAACACACATCATGCGCACACAATGCCTTCTCACTGAAGACAGCACCATACAGCCGGCACCACAGACGCAGTGACTGTAGGATAGTCCTCGAGACTAGGGAGGAAAAGTGAGATGAAGCTCAACCTTGAACTGACTGTGAAGATGTTAAAAATCCCATCTTTTTTATCCCTAAAGCCAAGCAGAGCATCTCTCCATCCCAGGATAGTTACTTCAGCCATGGTATATCCTCCAACCACAGTATAGACATGAAGTCATTTGAAACCATTTCCCTTTTTAACATATGCTGGCTGTAAAGCTATGCAACATGCCAAAAAAATGTCTGCTCCGCCAGTTTGTGGTTTTTTTTCCAAATTAGCGGAGGCATATGGGGAAAAAAAACTACGTTTAGTTCAGGGAATGAGCCTGTAAAACACATTATATGAAGCTATAGTGTGTCTTTCTGAAGTTATACTCTGTCCTCTAATGGTTTAATGTGTTTTCACTGGGCACAGTTGGAACATTTGGAAAATGGACGATGTTTTAAACCTCTCCTTGGCAGAGAGTGTTGACAGTTTAGGTGCCAGGGCGAACTGCTTGTGATCTGACTGTTTTTTAAAGTGAGATGATAACGGCTGTGTGCATTAGCAACAATGGAAGTGTTACTAAGTTCTGTAAATCTTGTGAAAAATACTTTTAATCTAGAATGAGAGAAATGTCCTCTTTCTTTCTAGAATTTTTCATAGGGTATGAAGGTGAACATCACTGGGCAGATCGTAAATCCTTCTCTTCTGCT